GAGGGAGAGAGAGAGAGAGAGAGAGAGAGAGAGAGAGAGAGAGAGATCATTTTCTTTCTAACAAACCTAGGCAGTTATGGGCTATTTCTACATCATAAAACTTCTTTCCTCATTGTCCTAAGAGAAAATAGAAATTTTTTTTTTCTGGTCTGAAGAATGGTATCCCTTGACACTTAGTCCTCAATCCAACAAGACTAAGAGAATGGCCTCAGGGAAGTGACTAAGGAATAGTTGATACCATGAGTTCTTTTATCGACAGGCTCAAGGCTGAAGGGACTGTGCTATTACTCTTCTGGCTCTGGCCATAGGAGAATACAGCATTTCTTAGTCCCTTCAAAGAGATACACAAATGCCAATCTTACTAAGGCTTCCTTCCATCTTGGACTTTCTAATTTCCAGATCTGTGAGACATGTTCCTGTCTATCAATGGCCAAGTCTATGCCATTTTGTTAAAGCAGCACAAAGAAACTGACATGATTTTTAAACATAACTTCATTACTGTACTGTTGGTAAAAGCTCCAGGAGAGAAGAACTCTTCCATATCAATAAAAGGAAACATACCTTGGGCATGACTGAACACAATTTAGCCAAGAAAAGCTTTTTTAGGTTGGGAGTGTATCTAGTGGGAGAACATGCTTAGCCATAGACAAGACACTGGGTTGATTCCCGGTGGAAGAGGAAGTGAAGAAGGATAATGGAGAGACATTTTCTAACCTTTAGCCATTAATTGCTGCTGGGAATCTGCTTTTTAAAAAATCAGAGATGCTCAGTATGAAAATTCCACTGCAATATTATTTAAGTAAAAAATAATCCAAATCTACAACAATTAGAAGCAAAATAGGATTTATTTATAGGACAGGTTATCCAGCCAGTGAAAGGCAATGTGATCATGACCGATGAGTGACAGATAAAATGCTCCTTGCAGTAAAGGGGAAGCAGTGGGATTTCAAGTCTTCCATCCAGAAGCCAGAGAGATGGCTGGCTTAGTGGTGAACACATGCACTCCTCTTCCAGGGGACCCAACTTCATTTTCCAGAACCGAAGTTGGGCAGCTTAAAACTAACTGTATGTAACAACTCAAGTTTTAGGGGACCCAACTTTCTCTTCTAGCCTCTGTGGATGCCTGCACATACCCTTACACAAATAACTAAAAATAACTAACACCTTTAAAATACCCTATCAAATATGATTTAAAAGCAATATATAAAAATATATATGCTACATATATACCAGTGATCAGCTGTGGTCACTTTCCCAGCTGTGTAATGTGGAACAGGAGTTCACATCTCTGTGCCTCAGAGTGTCACAGGGACACCAATACCCATCTTAAAGAGTTAAATGGACATTACTAGTGAGAAGACCTATGCATGATGGTGGAACACTATGCCTGGCACACTGCAAAGCTGGCACCACCATCACCACTAACCCCCTAGGATGAGTGGAAGGTCAGGGACCAAAATGCTAATAGTGATTACCTGGGAAGTAAAATTCCACATCAGCTTAGCTTTCTCCTCTATCCTGGAAATCTTCTAAATCTTTTATAGTGTGCATTATATAGTCATAAAAAATGCACCGTAAAGAAGACATCTAGTGATTTCCAGCATTTGCCACTCTTGAGGGTGGATAATGTAGGAAGAACAGTGTCAATCAGAGAGCAAATGATGCCTTTCACCCACACGCACACGTACACACACAATATAATTGGGCACGCTCATGACACAGTGTGTGTGGAAACCAGGAGTCAACTGACAAACTCCTTATGAGATTCTGCTCTCTCCTCCCACTATAAGGTTTCTAGGTGGTGACTTGGGTCAGCAGACTTGCTTGTGATGAATTTGTCTGGCCCTGGTTTTGTGTTCTTAAGATGAGATTTCTTATAACTCAAGCTAGCCTAGAACTCACTATGTAGACAACCTGAAGTTGTGATCGTCCTGTCTCAACCTCTAGATTGCCAGTGTTATAGGCATGTATGGCAGACCTGCTCTTTCACACTAGCACCAGTGCCTCAGCTCCCAGCCCTTCTCTAGAAGCCTGCTCACTTACGGGTGCAGTTCCTTGGAAGCCATCCTCCCCAGTGTTGGTCACAGGAAACTCGCCCTGCCAAATGTTGGCATAATGCTGTCCTTTGGGCTGCAGTTTGTTGCCCCAGGGGAAAAGCCTGTGAGAAGAGACACAGGCATCAGCATGATGCACAGGCTTCTGGACCTCAGTCAAGAGAAAGGATGCAGTGGGAGAGAACAAACAATGCACATGGGTGAACTGTTTCTTTAAAAGATACACTCATAAATATAACTTTTAATTGGGACTTTTAGAAATTTCCTTGTAACAACTCATGTCAAGTGTACAAAACTTCAGTCTCTCCTCACCACTGAGAAGGCCTGAAATAAATGATATGACTGCAAGAGGCCTTCTAGAAATCTGAGAAATGAGGCATCATTCTGGACTTATATGGTAGCATGAGCAGGCACGGCACACCACACTTTTTTTTTTTAAGCCCTGTCTATTTTAAGGAGCTTTTCCTAGAAGATGTGACCCAAACATGAGTTTTCTGTCTTATGGCTGTAGAATCAGAGAATACCATGGCTTCAGAAGACAGCTAAAATAAGAAAATGCTAAAAGGGAGGCAGCCTGCCAAACAGCTTTGAGGAGAGACACACAGGAGCGGGTGCTCGGCCAGAGCTCACTCTGGGACTACAGAGTCCATTTGGCCCCATACCTGGCTTTAAAAACTGTAAAGAGTTCATGACTCACCCACTAGTGTCACCAAAGCACCTCACAAGGAAGAAGAAAAGCCAGCTGTTATTAATCAACTTCCTGACCACAACACGTTCCAGAAAGCTAAAGAGGGAAGGGGGGAGCAGAGGAAGAAGGGGTGGAAGAGAATGTCAACACACTGCTGGACAAGGCAAGGCCTTCTGGTGTGAGTACCTGTTCTGCAGGCCTCCTCTACAGCTGTATTCCCACTCTGCCTCAGTGGGCAACCTCTTCCCTGCCCATGTGCAGTAGGCAACAGCATCATTCCAGGAGACATGGAGAACTGGATGATTTGACCTAGAGAGGAGCATGCGCAGTTAAAAGAGACACTGGCCTGAACCGAAAGCAGGAGGTAGATTCAGAAAGCGACCATAGTCACCCGCCATCTGGTCATGATTTCAAAGCCTAGTTGTCACACACCTGTCCTCTCCAGTGGGGAGTGCTGAAGTCTTAGATGCCCCAAATGGGTCATAGCTTCTCTGCACTCAGGAGTCTCTTCACTTTGCAGCCTTGGATGCCCACAGATTACATAGGGATGGCAGGCACAGTAAAGCTCTGCCCCTGTTGGCTCAGCTGCTGAGAGTCATCAACAGATGCTTCTGGCTCCCTTGGCATTTTGCAGAATGGTTAGTGGCACCTTAGAGCCTCCAGTGACTATCACAGCAGGGACATAAGGCCCACAGAGGCTCAGCTTATAGTCTGTACATTCCTCAGAGCTCCATGCAAAGTGGGCCAGAACTTTGTTGGGCCTACATTATAGTGATTTGGCATCCACTCCTTTACATATCTGTGGGTCCCTAAAAGACACTGTACATGCCAAACTCTTATCTCAGCCTGTTTCCAGACACCTAGCTTTAAACTTTGCGTGTTTCTGCATTTCTAAGGGTCAGCTAGCACCATCTGCCTTACTCCAGCAGATCTCACGTCAGCCTTTCCAGACAGGATGGAAGAAGTCAGTGGAGCTGAAATCACCACTCACTTTTAGGTGACCTAGACTGGCCCACCTAACTCCTCATGCATCTCTGAATTCCTACAGGACATTCATTAATTTGCTCAACAAATGTTCCTGAGTAGCTCTGAGTCTGGTGCATAACTTAAAAGTACATTCCAGTGTGCAGGTGCAGCCCAATAGTAGGACAGATGGCCATGGGTTCGAGACTTAACACCACAAACTGAAAACGCAGTCTCCTTTGGATTTTCCTTCTACTAGCTTGACAATCAACTTTGAATCTGGGAAAGAAGGTAAAATTGGGAGCTAGAGACCCAGTTCACCCCAGGTCCTCAAGGATCCTACAACCTTCTACCTCACTGTCTATTTCCAGCACTGAGGAACCCAGTTCAGACCTTGAAAAGTTTTGTATCTATCAAGGGGCTGTATCTCTAGAGCCTAAGTTCATATACTCCCCGCTCCCTGATTTTAAGGTCAATAACCTTGAATGTGGTTAAAAACAAAGGCCTAAAGCACTGTCTGAAGAATGAGGTTAGGAGAACAGCTCCCCAGCTGTTGGAGGCCAGGTCATAATTGAAATCCTCCTCCATCCCCAGGGTTGAATGTGCATCTCTATTTTTGCTTAAGATAATTACTTCCTTGCCACCCTGGAGACCTGGTGACCAACTTGCCACTCTGGTTTTTGTTTTGTTTTGTTGTTTTAGTCAGATTGTGGCTTCTAAGTATGTGAGTAAAGCACATGGATACTATACCCAAGGCCACCTGACAGGATACAACTACCTATCCATACAAGAAATAGTCTTCTTTCACATAAATACTCATCAATGGATAGACTGTTATGAATAAACATGTCATGACATTTGTGATAGTCTGTCGTCCACAGCAAGGACGGAGGAACTCTGACAAGCCAAATGAAGCAGGCAAGAGTCCATTTATTCAAAGCTTTCTGTGAATAGACACTGTGACTAGGACTTCATATACATTACTTCCCATCATCTCCTTGCTGTCCCAAGAGTGGCAGATTATACTTGCCATTCGGTTTACATATGAAGATAGCTGCTGAGTTCTGCAAGAGCACAGAAATTTTCATTGGCATGAACCATATCAACTGGGCAGGACCAGACTCACCTGTGAAGAATAGTGGAGTCTGGGCCCTCTGGGTGTCTCCAATTAGCGCCCTTGACAGGTAACCACCATGGAGCAGCTGCAACCTCAAAGCAACCAAAAATAGGCTTCTGTCAGCTACTGTTCTCCAGAAATACACACAGCCAAATAGTAAATAAAAATTTCACATAGGGTCATGAGGTTTATTTGGGTTCAAAAACATGCCTTTACAGAGTACCAGAGAACCAGAGACTTACATGTGACCACATATTCAAACAAAAAACTATTAATTCATACAAGTCTATTTAAGTGCTACAGGGATTTTCTAAGGTTGTCCTGCCCATTAATCCTCTATAATCCATGACAAGTGGCAGATAGGAAGTGAGGTATGTCTACATCTTAAAAGATGGGGAAACAGTTCATCTTCATGTTAAACATGAGGTTGAAGGTTATCCAAAGTGGCCAGAGATCAAGTGGAACACAGAAGAAAACCAAGAAACTATGTTTAAAAGATCACCGTTCAACCTGCAGTTTGATATGCATGATGCCCAGTGACTGGTTAGCACCTAAAGCTTTGCTGCCAGTCAAAAGTAGCTTTGAATGGTGGCTCTGCTGTTCACAGTATAACCCTCTCTGGGCCTGCTTGCACATTTGCAGATAGTCAGCAACATCCATTACAGTAAAGAATTCTAATACAAAGGACTTAAGGCTCTGCCCTTAGCAACTTAGGGTAATGACTGAGCAAGCAGCAGGGAAAGGGAACCAGTCTCACTGGGCATGATGACAAGCAGCTACATGGAGAGCCACAAAAATCAATCACTGCCACCAATATTGAAGAACAGAAGCTTGGGAATGATTCTTCTAACACAGACTAGAGCGGATTCAAATCTGGCCCCATGCCAACTGTATTCTCAACATACTGTATCCCTGTGAGCTGGTGGGGTGAAAGTGACAGGGACTATGTCCCTGCTGACAGTGACAGCTGTCACTGTGAACACCAAGACTACCCTCATCCATTTTTTTCCACATTAACACAATCAAAACATTTAAGATATCTCCACAACAGCCTGATGGAAAAAGACATTTGGTTTAAACACTTCAATAGAAAAGACATTTTGTCCTTCAACATGACTGCAAGGCAGTAGATTTCACACCACGCAGGAGCTGAGAGCATGCCTTTCATCTACAGGTAATCTGGGTTTATTCTGTTTGGTGCCAATGACAGGTAATTCGCTCAGTGTCCAGGAAAGATGTGCACAGAAAGCTCAGGTTCAGAAAGTTCTGGATTCCAGGAAAATAATCACATGACTCAACCTGTCCAGCTCCACTCCCAGCACAAATCATTATTGATGGAAGATTCTAGCTCTTAAATTAAAAAAGAAAACACAAAATATATGAAATCTGGATGGTAGACACTAAAACACCTTTGTTCTTTTTTTTTCTCACCTTTGTTCATTTTCTTTTCCTTTTTTTGTATTTTGAAATGTATCTTCCACTTTTAGCAATGAAAACAAATACACAACCTGTTTATATTCATTCTGCCCACTAATGTGCATTTGGACATTTCTAGTTTGGAGCTGTAATAAACAGCAATTTGAATCTTCTTCAAAGAGCTTGCAGCTTTGGATGATGCCTTTTCTCCTGACTCTACATTGTGAAAGGCCACAGTTATCCATACATCCATCTTTAGAAGAGACAACAAATGCAAGGCTAGGAGGGAGCTCCTCTAGCTCCCCGACCCTTCTAAGGAGAACATCCACAATGTTGAGTTCTTCAGAGGAGACCCAAGGCTGCTGCAGCAGTGGCTCATCAGTCCTTTCATTAGCCTCAGCATTTCTTTCAATTCAACCACCAAATCCCACTGAGGCAGGATAGAACAACAGGAAAAATAAAAAGATGTGACGAAGGAAAGAAAGCCCTTGTCTCGGAATCTACTTTGCCTTTCTTGCTGAGTCAAAAATAGAAAACAAACAAAAAGTCCACAACTGATATTGCCAAAACTCCCTCTAGGGGCAATGGAGGTTCTAAAGATATGGCAAACAGAGAAACTAAAAGCTACAAATGAACTCTGCTTGCCTGGGCCAGAACACTGAAACCTTATGTCTTACACATTCTCAGTCCTCTCTCATCTCCACATTGAAACTGATAAAACTACCTTACAGTTTTAAGAGAAAATCTTTAAGAAAAGTAAGTAAACCAATTCAGTCATTTTTGTTTCAATTTTAAGTTTTGCTTATTCTTTAAACCTTGTTAGAATTTACTTCTGTTGTGGAATGTAACTTAGAAAGCCACCTGACCATACACACTCAGAGTAGAGCCAAGACTGTCCAACACCCTGCACCCATGTCTGGGTGTTGTGTACTGTACTTTTCCCAGATGACTAACTATCTAAATACTTGATGAGCTCACTAACTCCATTTCACTCTGGCTCATCCTGAAATTCTTTTCTGCAGTGTAATCAAGGTTCTGGTGGAGCTTTACCAGGTGGAGGTCCCTAATGCAGAAGAAAATGTCTCAGGCTGATGGAAGTGTTCGACTACTATGTCACCATAAATTATCAGAGTGCAGTTTAAGATGGTATATTGACAGGTTTTTAAATTTATTTTACATATAGTAATTAATTCTTTCATTCAAAAATGAAGTGCAAAGTGTAAACCTAGTCATCTCATTTTTGTTCTAAAATGTGTCCAAAATGTACCCATGTACCAGATCCCTCCTCATACACATCAGGCCAAGGTTCCTGCCTTCCTTCCTACTCTTTCTCTGCCTTTTCCTTTTTTTCTTTCTGCAATGTCACATTAACTCAAGCACGCCACCCAAAACAAACCAGTGATTGATAAGTTTTAAGATCACAGAGCTACACAGTGATCTGTTTCACTGACGTCTACCAAGAAACAAAAGAACTCATCAAACAGGGCACAAGGAGGGGACACTGGGACCACAGACCACAGATTCCTCTTTAGTTCAAAACAGCAAGATCTGAATGCAAAGGTATATGTAGACTATACAGAACACAAGCAAGAAATGGAAGGATACATGCAGACTATAAAATCACTGCTCCTAAGTAAAAATTACAAAATTACCCAGCTGTCCTAGAGGTAGTTATGAAAACTTACTTTAACATGGAAATATATCATGTACTGTTATAAATATAACTAATAGAGTATAGGCCTAACTTTGTTTCCATAAAATATTTGCCCAATAATGTATGTTAGTATAGCTAAAAGTAATAAAAGAAAATCCCTGAGAATATACATACACCTAACTAGGTGAAGGAACTAGTATCGAATGAGCATGCAACACAAACCAGATTTTATCAGCCTCAGCACTCTGGACCTTCTCTAGGCCATAAAATTCTGTCTTGGCTTGGTTAGGACCTCCTGAGTGACATAAGGTAGAATGTGTGGCAGCATTTCTGACTTTTACCCACTAGACCCCAGGTGTATCTCAACTGTGGCATACAACAAATGAATCTAGACATTGCCATGTGTTCTTCCAAAGAGCAAATCACTCGCTATAGTGACAACCAGGAAAACCATTAATCATTTTAAATGTTAACACATACTTCACCTTGGCACAACAACAGAAGCACCTAACATGCTACAAGACATAAGATCTCAGGCTCTCTATACTCTCGAATCCACAGTTTACCCATGAAGTAGACATAAAAATTCCCCATCTTCACCCTTCACTAGCTGTCTAGCCACTCACCTGGGCAGCCTGAGAGAGCTGGTCCCAGTGGCTTAGGTGCTGGAGAGCTGGCAGGCTGACCAACTTAGCTACCATATAGGCCCAAATCCAGGGCTTTTGAGTTGTCTACCCCAATATCTATCCTATCTATGAGCTGTTAGGGTGTGTGAAGGGGCTGGTCCTTCAGATCCAAAGCTGCAGGATCTCCATGACACAGGGCAACAGGATATCCACAATGAGTCTAGGTGAGGATCCAGTATTGATGGTGTAGCAGAAGCCAGAGACCTGGAACCAGACCAGTGACTCACAGCAATGAACACTTGCGACTAAAGCTGGTTTGGGCAAAAAGGTATATAATGTGTAACAAACCATGACACACCGCAGCTTCCATAGAGAGATCTTTTGGGAGGTTGGGGATATTTTTGTTTCTTTGTTTTTTAATTTTTAATTTTGCTTTTTTGTGCAGGGGAGGCTGCAAGGACAGAGGGTAGATATAGAGGGACTGGGAGATGAGAGGAGTGGGGTGCGTGATGTGAAACTCACAAAAAAAAAAATTCAATAAAAGTCTTTTTTCAAAATGGCTGTGTTTCCTAGGGTTGTCATAAGGCTTATATAACAAAATACATCCAAAGCATTTGGATAAGGAGTCAGAACAACCCAAGTGTCAGTTACCAGTCTTCCTATCGTTTATTCATGTCACTGCATGCTACAAAACTGCTGTAAGTTTTCATAGAGCACATACTCCAATTAGTAAAAACCTACCATCTTCAGTCAGTCCATGCCTCATCCACCCATCAGATCACCCTTTCAGAATATAGACAGGCTGTAGGAAGTGCCCGAGGGGTATAAAGTCAAGGGACAGCATGTGCCATATTGGAGTATTCTCAAGAAGAGTCCGTAATGGCAGTCTTTCATCACTGTCTTGCTTCAAGAACCATCTACACATAAGGTGGCCTATGCCCCCACAGCAAGACGTACTGTGGGGGAGGCGAGCTGGGAAATGCCCTCCCAACTAGACAAGGACGCAGCACACATAAGGACAGCAATGACATGCAGTGTGTGAGACTGACTGTGGTCACCATTGTGATGGTCAAATGCACTAAGTCCCCAAATGACACAAGAAAATAAAGTCACCCCATAATAACTGTGATGAGATCGGGCATGGCTTTGTTCATCCTGGCCAACTTGCTCTGGACCAGAATATTTTCTGACTAAATTCATGGCATACTCCATTCAATGTCACCAGATACCTTCTTCTTGCAAATGTCAGGTTTTTTTTGAAGATTTTTAAAAATGTGTATATAGTCTGTGCACCACATGTGTGTCTGTGGAGGCCAGAAGAGGACATCAGATCCCTGAGACAGGTGTTACAGAGAGTTGTAAGCTTACATGTGGGCGCTGGGAACTGAATCTGGGT